TTTTGCTCCAAAATCGATAAAAATTAGGTTTTAGAACTTGCCGTGTTCTGAGCTTTAAAATGAGTATAATCATGACTATATTTGCAGAAACTTGATTTTCGCCCTGGGACCCATGCGCCTTTAAGGTCAAAATTTCGAAATTTTCAGAAATAGGTCGTGTGGGGTATCATTTGAAAGCTGGAAATCTCACAAATCGAATGGTATGAACATTAAGGCAATTCGTTGAAATTTTCAGTCTGAAAATCGCTGAAAATCGAATTCTTGCAGAAAGTGTACATAAATCGGGTTCCTTCAACAACAATCTGCCAGTAACACCACGAATGGCGACGACGACAATGACGGCGACGTCGACGATGGAAGACGTGCGGACACTAGAAGACGTCACGTATCATTCAGAATATGAGAATACATCGGATGATTATGAGAAGGAGTTGATGCAATGGAGAGATATCACTATTCAATTATCAGGTAGAGGAATTAGGCTGGAAATTGAATTTTGACGATTTTTGGGTCGAAAATCCCCCCAAAAAATGGGTGGCCCAAAATCAGCCATTTTCCTGGCTTTTCGGCTTAAAAATGTCAAAAAAAGAATAATTTTTTTGGCTGAAATTGGAGACAGTCAAATTTTTGTAGGTTTTTCGGCTCAAAATTCTCGAAAATTCGAAAAAATTCCGCTGAAATTTGGCTGAAAAAATCGAATTTTTGCAACAATTTTGGACCGCAAAAACCCCACACAAATCCCCTTAAATTTCCAGATGTACATGTAAAAGGACGCATCGGAGACGGTCGTTTCGGCACCGTCCATATTGCCGAATACCATGGAGATGCAGCTGTCAAATTTGTAAATATGAATTATTTAAAAGAAGAAGCCGAGAGAATGGATGTATTTACACAGGAAATTGTTACCGCTTATAAGGTACGGGATTTTTGCTGAAATTTGGCTGAAAATAGGCTTAAAATGGCCAAAAATTTCAAATTGCTCCGATTCTGATAAAAATTGATTTGACGACCCAAATCGACGTTAAAAACAATATGATTGGGAAAAAATTTCAAAAAATTGAAAATTGAAAAAAATTTTTGAAAAATTTCAAATTGCTCCGATTCTGATAAAAATTGATTTGACGACCCAAATCGACGTTAAAAACAATATGATTAGAAAAAAAATTTCAAAAAATTGAAAATTGAAAAAAATTTTTTTTTGGAATTTTTCGAAAAAAAAATTTCTTCAATTTTCGATTTTTTGAAATTTTTGAAATTTATATTGCCAAGTGCGCTGTTTTAGGTCGTCAAATAAATTTTTAGCGAAATCAGAGCAATTTGAAATTTTTGAAATATTTCGAATAAATTTCAAGAAACAAATTTTCTAAAGAAAATAGGCTAAAAATAGCCCAAATTCCAGTAAAAATGAGGCAAAAGTTGTAAAAAATGGCTAAAATCAAAATTTAAATATCGAATTTTCCACTCGAAAACCCGAAATTTCAGTTTTCAGTTTTTTTGGTCATTTTGGGACTTCTAGACCCATTTTCAATGAATTTTTGAGATATTTTTGAGTCGAAATTCCCCAAAAATTGGTTGATTTTAAGTCATTTTTGGGATTTTTAGGCCCATTTTTCATGAATTTTGAAGAAAGTTTTGAGCCAAAAATTCGCACAAAACCTTACCTAAGTTTAGTCATTTTCGGGAATTTTGGGCCATTTTCGATGGATTTTTGTGAAAATTTCGAGCCAAAAATTGACAAAAATCCCATTTTGAGCCGAAAAAAAACCTCCAAAAAATCCGAAATTTTTCGCAAAATTTTTAGATCTTTTCCGGTTTTTCAGCTATTTTTTCAGATTCTTTTCTCGATTTTTCCAGCTTTTTCTCGTCGGAAATTCATTCGATGGGATACGGTGTTCGTGTGAATACTACTGTAGATTACTGTAGCTTCTTTGCTGTCAACACATTTTTTGTAGAAATCTCCACGTCAAAATGCAAAAAAAAAACTACAGTAATCTACAGTAATCTTCAAAAACCGAACACCGCATCCCATCGAATTTCAGACAAAAGAAATCTGAAAAAATAGCTGAAAAAAACCAAAAAAGTGCTAAAAATTTCGCTGAAAAATCGGAGAAAACCCATTTTGAAATTTCGAATTTTTCAGAGTTTTTTTTTGGCTCAAAATGCGATTTTCTTCATTGAAATTCTCACAAAAAATCCCACTGAAAATGGCCCTAAATTCCCGAAAATGACTAAAATTTGGTCAGTTTTTGTGCATTTTCGGCTCAAATATATTTCAAAAAATTCATTGAAAATGGGTCTAGAAATCCCAAAATGACCAAAAACTGAAAACTGAAATTTCGGTTTTTTTCGAGTGGAAAATTCGATTTTTTATTTTTATATCAGCCATTTTTTATCTCAATGTCTAAAACTGAATTTTGGCTCATTTTTGCAGGTTTTTGCATAATTTTTTATGGATTTTGGACCATTTTTAGTGGATTTTGAAATTTCGAATTTTTCGGAGTTTTTTTTTTGGCTCAAAATGCGGTTTTCCTCATTGAAATTCTCACAAAATCCCACTGAAAATGGCCCTAAATTTCCTGAAAATGACTAAAATTTTTTGGAAAATCTCAAAAATCACGAAAATTTGGGACTGATTTTCTCAAATTTCCAGAACTCCCGCCACGAGCACATTGCCCTGTTCTACGGCTACGTAGTGGATCCGCCCACGAACACGTACGCAATCGTGACGAATTTCTATCAACACAAGACCCTGTACCACCGTATTCACGAAGCGACAGAAGACTATGAGCAATCGTGGACATTTCAAATTTCGCTCCAAATCTGTCAGGCAATGTCTTATTTGCATCGGCGGAAGATTCTGCATCGGGATTTGAGATCCAAAAACATCCTTCTGGACAATCCCAACCGAGTCGTCGTCGCTGATTTCGCGTTGATGAAGCTGGAGAGATTGGCTCATCCGAAGAGAGATTATACACTTTGTATTCCGAATCACTGGTTGGACTATTTGGCGCCAGAAGTCGCTTCTTACTTGATTTTGGATTCTAGAGGAGAATTCATGCTCCAGGAGGAGCTTCCTTTCACCGGAGATACTGATGTTTATTCGTTTGGGTTGGTTTATCTCGGAATTTGATTGAAACTAGCTTAAAATAGCTCAAAATAGACCTGAAACAGCTCGAAAATAGCTTGAAATGGACCAGAAATAGCTTAAAATTTGCCTAAAAGTGGTCAAAAATAGCTTAAAATTGGCTAAAGTGGATATTTGGCGTCAAAATCAAAATTTTTTGCAAAAATTCAAATTGCTCCAATTCTTTAAAAAAATGATTTGACGACCTAAAATTGTGCACTTAACAATATAATTTGAAAAAATTTCGAAAAACTTTAAAATTGAAAAAATTTTATTTTTGAAAAATTGTCAAAAAAAATTTCAAAAAATTCAAAATGCTCCAATCCTGATGAAAATTGATTTTACGACCTGAAATGGTGTGAAAAAGAATGAAATTTGAAAAAAGTTCGAAAAACTTGAAAATTGAAAAATGTTTTTTTTTTTGAAAAATTTTCAAAAAATTTTTTTTCCCAATTTCCGATTTTTTTGAAATTTTTGAAATTTATACTGTTTTTCACACGATTTTAGGTCGTCATATAAATTTTTATCAGAATTGGAGCAATCTGAAAATTTTAAAAAAATTTCGAAAAATTGAAAAAAATTTCTTCAATTTTTAATTTTTTTGAAATCCTTCAAATTTATATTGTTAAATGCGCTGTTTCAGGCCGTCAAATCAATTTTTATCGAAATTGGAGCAATTTGTACTTTTTGTCTGAAAAAACTGTAATTTTTTCCAGAACAATCTTCTACGAACTGCTGCTCCGCCGAATGCCAACCGGCTGTGACTCTTGGGAACAAAAGCTCTACGCAAAGATGTCCGGACAAAAAGCGACGCTTCAAATTCGATTCGACCCGAAACTACACGAACTGCTGATGAGTTGCTGGGCGACGACGGCTGAGAAACGGCCCACTTTTGCGTATATTGTCAAACGGATCACCTCAATGATGCCCCGGAATAAGGAATCGGCGAAAGCGAAGAGAAGAAGCACCGCCCATGAGAATCCACTATTTTAACCACGCCCCATTTATGTATCCATAGAAATGTCCTCTAGAAATCTCTTTGTTTCTCTGCGTCTCTCCTAATCTTGGTTCTTTTTTAAAATTTTGAAATTCCCGCGATTTTTAATCAAATTTTAATTTTTCGAAAATTTTCAAATTTTGGTGATTTTTGTCCATTTTTGGATTTTTTCAAAATTTTAACATTCCGGAAAATTTAGGCCAATTTTTAGAATTTTGAAAAAATTCAAAATCAAAATTTCAAATTCCCGCCAAATTGAGAGACGCCGAGAAATTGATCCCCAAAATAATCAAATCATAGTTTTATCGCCTCCAATTTTTACCCAATTTTCCCCCATTTCTGTTGCATTCCTGTTGCATTCCTGTTGCAAAAATTTCCAAAAATTTGGGAAAATTCAAATTTCCCGTCCAATCTATCCGCCCCACCAATTTTTATCCGCGTTTTTTCTCTCTCTCTCTCTCCCCAAAACTGTGTATTTACCCCCCGCCAAAAACCAATTTTTTTCAACCAAATTAATCAATAATACAGTATTACTGTAAATTCTAAAAATTCGAAATTTCCAGGCCCCGCCCCCTTTTTTTCCTGTGCCATTTGTTTTTTCTGACGACGAGTTTTATATATATACAATACAATGATTTATATAAAAAACGAAGAAAACAATTTTTAGGAGAAAAATATTTTTTATCCCAAAAATTTCAAATTCCCGCCTTGCCGCTACCGCTAATTCCAATTTTTATTATCTCAAATGATCTATTTATATTCCCACCCCATCTCTCTTTTACATGCATGCACCCTCCCGATTTATCGATTTTTTCCCGGTCAATTTAGGCCAATATTCCACTTTTTTTCTTGAAATTTATCGATTTTTTTTTCGCTCTTTTCAAAAATAAAAACGTCGAGATTTCAATTTTTAATTTGTTTTTTTCAACAATTAAATTTAACCCATTTTCATCTCTTTTCGCCAGATGATCTCTGAAAAATTGATTCAAAACCGGAGAAAAAGAGCTGAAAATATTTTCATTTTCCGCCTAAAACATCACTGTAGATAAACTTTGAGGCATGCGCCTTTAATACAGTACCCAGACGATTTTTTAGGGTTTTGTTGGGATTTTGGAACGAAAAACCAACATTTTTCGTTTTTTTATTCATTAAAAACCGGAGAAAATGAGCTGAAAATATTTTCTACTGCGTTAATGATTACTGTAGAAAGTTTTGAAGCATGCGCCTTCAATACAGTACCCAGAGGGTTTTTGTTTTGTTTTTGAGGAAACTTCCTCGCAAAAAAGGAATGAAAACTTTTACAAAGTCATTTTCTAGTAAAAAACAGCAATTTTCATTTAATTTTATCATTAAAAAGCGAAAAAAATGACCTGAAAACAGTTTCTATTGCATAAAAATCTACTGTAGAAAGTTTCGAAGCATGCGCCTTTAATACAGTACCCGGCTTTTTTGAGTGTTTTCGATAGATTTTCTGACGAAAAATCGGAAAAAAAACGCACAAAAAACGTATTTTTATTTATTAAAAACCGAGAAAAATGGCCTGAAAATGCATATTTTAGACTAAATATTCAGTTTTGAAGAACGCGCCTTCAAATACAGTAATAAAATGAATAAAATTGATTTTTTATGCAAAAAAAAGATAAAATTATGCAAATCGATGTAGAAAAAATCGTAAATTCCAGAAAAAATAGCCAAAAATCAATGCGGAAGCACAGAATTCGTGGGTTGAGGTGGCCGCCAACTGCATCGCCGGGCATCATTGATTAGAACACAAATTTCGACGAAATAGAGCCCGGAGCACAGAAAAAGGGCGGCCTGAAACACATTTTCAAGAATTACAGTACCGCAAAACTTTCTACCGTAGCCAAAGCCGGCATTGTAGCCCATGCCGGATTCATATTAGCCCAATGGGCGGCACAAAACACCCATAGAAGAATTGCAGAGACCAGAAGACCCACAGAGACGACGACGTAGAGCAGGGACTCCTGAAAGTGCGCTCTATTGATTTTTGAAGTTTTGAATTTTTGAAGTTTTGAATTTTTGAATTTTTGAATTTTTGAATTTTTGAATTTTTGAATTTTTGAATTTTTGAATTTTGAATTTTTTGAATTTTTAATCTTTTGAATTTTCGAATTTTTGAATTTTTGAATTTTTGAATTTTTGAATTTTTGAATTTTTGAATTTTTAAATTTTGAATTTTTTGAATTTTGAATTTTTTGAATTTTTGAATTTTTGAATTTTTGAATTTTTGAATTTTTGAATTTTTGAATTTTTGAATTTTTGAATTTTTGAATTTTTGAATTTTTGAATTTTTGAATTTTTGAATTTTTGAATTTTTGAATTTTTGAATTTTTGAATTTTTGAATTTTTCGATTAAACTTACTATTATAAACCCTTTAGTGGCCGATATATGGGTGTTTATCATGAATGTGTACTCCACGAGGACTCCAAAACTAACAAGAATCCCTAAAAAGCAGAAAAAGAGGGCTGGTCCACGTTCATCGTTCACTGGTTGGGACCCACAGACAAGGACGATAGCGAAGAAGCACATTGCCTGGAAGAAATAGAAAAATAGGCTAAAATCAAGTTTTTTTTGAGATTTGACTCGTCGAGAGCTTCTATCTTGGCCTAAATTAGGCCATAACTCGGCCAATTTTGGTCCAAATCCAATTTTAATGGTACTTTTAAAATTGCCTTGTCTTGAGCTTCAAAATGAATATAAACACGGCCAGGTTTTGTGAAATTCGATTTTTCCGAGGGTCCGTGCGCCTTTAAACTCAAAAATGAGAAAAATTGAGGATTTTAAGTTTTCAAAGTTTTAGGACCCCAACAAATTTTCAATCAAATTTTGATCTCGGTCATAACTCGGTCAATTTTAGTCCAAATCAAGTTCTAATACATTCTTTGAACTTTTTTTGTTTTGAGCTTCAAAATGAGTATAAACATGTCTAGGTTCCGTAAAATTCGATTTTTCCGAGGGTCCATGCGCCTTTAAGCTCGAAAATCCCAATTTTACGAAACCTAGTCTTGTTTATACTCATTTTAAAGCTCTTAACAAGCCGAGCATGAATCTGATGAGAAAAATCAAGAATTTTGAGATTTTAAAACTCGAAAATCGATTTTAGTTCATTTCAACCGTTTTTGACCGAATTTTTTAGATTTTATAAGCTTCAAAAATTTTAAAACTTACAATACACACAATTTTGGTAATTCCGCGGCATTGAGACGCATAAAAAGTGTCCAAAAGCATCACTTTCTGGCGCCAAATGATTTGTTTCGGGTAGCCATTTCCAGAAATTTCTGGAACTCCGTCATCTTGTTCTTCAATTTGCATCCTGGAAAATTGAATTTGATTGACTTTCGGTTCAGATTTGAGTTTGGCTTGTTGAGAGCTTCAAAATGAGTATAAATAAGATTAGGTTCCCTGAAATTTGATCTTTGGAGCTTAAAGGCGCATGGACCCTCGAAAAATCAATTTTCGTGGAACATAGTAATGGTTATACTCATTTTGAAGCTAAAATCAAGGCAAGCTCAAAAAACGCATTAAAGTTAAATTTGCCCCAAAATTGGCCGAGTTATGGCCCAAACCAAAACTCGATCGAAAAATTCGAAATGTTTGTTTGGATCCTAAAAGTTTGAAAACTCAAAATTTTCATTTTTTCTAATCAGATTCCTGATCAGCTTGTCAAGCGCTTCAAAATAAATATAAACAAGACAAGGTTTCGTAAAATTTTATTTTTGGAGTTTGAAGGCGCATGGACCCTCGAAAATTCAAAATTCCGGGAACCTAGACATGTTTATACTCATTTTGAAGCTGAACGCGAGATAAACTCAAAAAATTAACTCGAATTGAAATTGAACAAAAATTGACTGAGTTATGGTCAAAAAAGTGAATTTTTCATTGGAGCGCATTTTCTGAGCGCTTGAATTTAAAAAATCGGTATCTTTCTCCTTTTTTAGCGAATCTCTTTTACAGTTCTGGCCTGATTCAATTGGAATGTAATTTTTTGATATTGGCTAGTGCAGTGCTTCAAAATGAGTATAAACACAACCCACTTAGGAAATTTAAGATTTTTGGCCAAAAATTGGTTTGAGTCATAAATCGGCTAATTTTGGTCCAAATTGAGTTTTGAGAATTTTCTGAATTTTGGCTTGTTTAGAGCTTCAAAATGAGTATAAACAAGACTAGGTTTCATGAATTTTGATTTTTGGAGTTTAAAGGCGCATGGTCTCTCTCGAAAAATCGAAATTAAGGAAACCTAGTCTTGTTTATACTCATTTTGAAGCTAAAAAAAAGGCAAGCTCAAAGAATTAACTTAAATCAAAATTGAACAAAAATTGACCAAGTTATGACCGATTTCTCTTTTTAATTTCTCACTAGAGCGCATTCTCTGAGCGCTAAAATTCGAAAAAAAGTAATATTGTAGGTTGAGAAAAGAGTAATAATAACAATAATAAACAAAAGTAAGGGGAAAAGTCGAAAGTCTTTGGGTTATTTACTTTTCCCTGGGCCACCCAACCCCCGTAAAGTGGCAAATAAACATTACTACTGTCAAGGTTGTGTGCTCATTGAGCAAGTTTCTATATCCCATGCAACTAGTTGTGGGAAACAAGAATATTGGAGAAATGCAAGAAACATGCTGAAAAATTCGCTGAAAAATGAGTGAAATTGAATGAAAACCGGCAATTTTGAAATTTCAAAAAAAGTTTTTGGTCCATAAGACTTTCAAATTTAAAATTTTTCAATTTTTCTGTTCAGTTTCATGCTCAGCTTGTTAAGAGCTTCAAAATGAGTATAAACATGACTAAGTTCCGAAACATCCAATTTTTCGAGGGTCCATGCGCCTTTAAACTCAAAAAACAAAGTTCATGAAACCTAGTCATATTTATACTCATTTTAAAGCTCAAGCCAAGGCAAATTCAATAAATGTACTAAAATCAAATTTGGACGAAAACTGGCCACGTTATGTCCCAAACCAATTTTAGGTCGAAAATCAAAATTTTTCAAAATGAGTCGTGTTTATATTCATTTTGAAGCTCTAAACCAGCCATAACTAAAAAATTAGGTTTCAGATAGTTTTGAGCAAAACTGGAAAAGTAAGTAGCCAAAAAATAAAACAAAAAAGGAAACTACAACGAACACAAATATATACTTCTGTGTATATTTACCTTGGCTATTGCCCCTTTATCCTTTTATGTCTCATTTTTCTCTATTTCTCTATCTCTTGTTATGCGGATTACTATACATACGTATATCTCATAAAAAGTACATTTTATAACCGATAGTTATGGGATTATATGGGTTTCGGTTTGCAGAGAAAAATCTACAGTAACCCCTAGTAGAGAACTTTTTATTATACAAAATAACTGGAAAAGTAATGAACATATGAAAGAAGCCGGTTAAAAACAAAAAAAGCAGATAAAATTGAAAAATTTGAGATTTTCGATCAATAAAATTTTTAGACAATTTTTGGTTTTTGGGCCCTAAAACTTTAAAAAGTCAAAATTTTTTATTTTTCTATTTAGAATTGAACTCAGCTTGTTAAGAGCTTCAAAATGAGTATAAACACGACTAGGCTCCGCCCACTTTGAGATTTATGGTTTAAAGGTGCATGGCCCCCTCGAAAAATTGAAATTCAAGGAACATAGGCTTGTTTATACTCGTTTTGAAGCTCAGACCGAGACAAATTCAAAAAAATGTATTAAAATGTAGTTTAGACCCAAACTGGCCGAGTTATGGCCCAAACCAGTTATGGGCCAAAAATCAAAATCTTTAAAACCGGGCTAGTTTATACTCATTTTTACACCTTTTTTGAGTTAAACTTCAATGTTCAAGTTTGAAAACTCAAAATCTTTAAGCTACAGTAATCCGAGTTGTCAATAGAGCGAAATTGCTGATCCTTCCATTCATCCCCTAACAAATACAGCTGTGTACACAAAAAATATGGCAAAAGTGTGTCAAATTTTGTTGAATTTGGTATTTTTATACAATTTTTGTCCCAAATAATAAATGAGGAACTCATCTAGAACCAATTTTTGGCTTATTTTCATATTTTGTAAGTCTAGAATTTCAGGACTTTGGCTTTAAACATTTTTTCTAGGTTCCGCAATTTTCCTCTTCTTAGTGGTGTCCAGAAATAATTTGTACAAATGTGAAAAATCTGAAAATCTAGAGGAAAAACCTGAAAATTCAAAACTTCCCGAGATTCCAGATGTTATGTTGAATGGATTTAGAATTCAGGTGAGTATTTGGGTCCCAAAATTTTAAAAAAATTGGAAATGTTTAAAATTTCTGTTCAGAATCATGTTTGGCTTGTTGAGAGCTTCAAAATGAGTATAAACACGCCTAGGTTTCTTAAATTTTGATTTTTCAATTTAAAGGCGCATGGACCATCGAAAAATCGAATTTCATGGAACCTAGTCTTGTTTATACTCATTTTAAAGCACATCTTGAAACAAAGTCAACAAGTTTACTTTCATCAGGTTTGAACTGAAATTGACTGAGTTATGACCCAAAACAAATTTCGATCGAAAATTTATTTGAGTCCTAAAGCTTTCAAAACTCGCAATTTTTACATTTTTTTTTCAGATTCATGTTTGATTTGTTTAGAGCTTTAAAATGAGTATAAACACGACTACTTTGAGATTTATAGATTAAAGGCGCATGGACCCTCGGAGAAATCGAAATTCACAGAACCTAGGCATGTTTATACTCATTTTGAAGCTCTTAACAAGCTGAATTCGAAAATTTAAATTTTATTGATTTTTATTCAGTTTTTCAAGAAAATCAGAACGATTTTAGAAATCAAAAATTTCTTCATTTGGACCATTTTTAGCTAAATTTCAGTTATTTTCAGGATCTAAAAAATGCACCCTTCCCTCCTGAACTCCCTGGACCATTTCGAATGGAATTTCCACCTCCAGACACTCGAAAAACCCTACAAATTCAACTGTTCACTGTGAAAAATGGGCGGGGCTTGGGTCAAATTCTATTCGAGCTATCATCACTTTTTGGCATTGCTCAGCAACTTGGCAGAGCGCCAAAAATACAAAGAGTGGGCGGAGTTTGGGATACTGTAGTTCGAGAAGTGTCACAGTATTTTCCAGTTTTTGGCGCCAAATTTGAAATTAGCGATTTAGAGGTAATTTAAAATTCGAAAATTCGAAAATTCGAAAATTCTGAAATATCAAAAAATTAAATTTTTTTTAAATTTTCAAAAATTTCAAATACATTTCAGGAATCTGCCGCTGTATCTGTAAATCTCAATATTCGTTTTTGTTGTAAATTTGAGGACCCGCGAAATTTGAATTCTATCGATCAACAACATTTGATGCTTAATGGCGTCTATTTTCAGGTAATTTTATTCTTTTTTGGTCCCTGCCGTTTTAAAAAATCAAAATTCTTAACTTTTTTACTCAGATTCTTGATTGTCTTGTTGAGAGCTTTAAAATGAGTATAAACACGACTAGGCTCCGCTCACTTTGAAATTTTCCGTTTAAGGGTATATGGACCCTCGGAAAATTGAAATTTCTGGAACCTAGTCTTGTTTATACTCATTTTGAAGCTCTAAACAAGCCAAACTCAAAAAAAATGATTAGAATGAAAATTGGACAAAAATTGACCCAGTTATGGTCAAAACCATAATTTGACTGAAAACTTATTCGAGCTCTAAAACATTGAAAACTCGAAATTATTGATTTTTCTGTTCAGATATATGATTGGCTTGTTGAGAGCTTCAAAATGAGTATAAACACGACTAGGCTCCGACAACTTTGAAATTTTCCGTTTAAAGGCGCATGGACCTCGAAAAATCGAATTTCACAAAACCTAGCCTTGTTTATATTCATCTTGAAGCTAAAATCAAGCCAAGTTCAAAAGATTCATCAGAATTCAGTTCGGACCAAAACTGTCCGAGTTATGACCTAAACCACTTTGGGTTCCAATTTTCCAATTTTTTTTGAAAAAAAAAATTCAAAAAATTTTTAAAAATCCAATTTTTTTAGAGTTTCAAATATTTTAACGATTATCAATCTGAAATTCGTTTGTCTTTGACTCCACCCCCAGAAAGTGCGATTCGAGCGGAATTACTCATTTCAGAAGAGTTCAAAAGCGATTTTTTGTAATTTTTCAAAAAAAAATTTCCCGCCAAAATTTGAAAAATTCAGAATTTGTGTTCACACAAAAAATTCAAAAATTGATGCATCTATACTTTCAAAGCCTTCAGACCCAGTTTTCACACGTGCCGCTACAGATTATTTGGTGAGAAAATGTATAAGCTCCGCCCACTTACTAGGCCACGCCCCCTTTTTTACAGATAATGACACTGGAAAACGGATTACTGTAGCTGTGATGGGTAATGATCCACTATGGGTGCAGGATTTGTTTAATGGTATGTTTCAAGTTTGCTCTATTGGACAAAAAATTTTGAAAAAATTGGAAAAAGTTTTAATTTTCAGACAAAATTGGCAAGTCCAACTATTTCAACAGGTTTAATGAGTCAATTATTCCGGAAGATTCTCCGGATTATACGGTACAGTAATGAACATATGAAAGAAGGCGGTTAAAAACAAAAAAAGCAGATAAAATTGAAAAATTTGAGATTTTCGATCAAAAAAATTTTTAGACAATTTTTGGTTTTTGGGCCCTAAAACTTTAAAAAGTCAAAATTTTTTATTTTTCTATTTAGAATTGAACTCAGCTTGTTAAGAGCTTCAAAATGAGTATAAACACGACTAGGCTCCGCCCACTTTGAGATTTATGGTTTAAAGGCGCCTGGACCCCCGAAAAATGGAATTTCTCGGAACATAGCCATGATTATATTCATTTTAAAGCCCTAAACAAGTCAAACTCAGAAAGTTATTTCGAATTGAAATTGGACACAAATTGACCGAGTTATGCTCAAAACGAAAACATGGCTCGAAATTTCTTTGGGTCATAAAACTTGGAAAACTCAAATTGCATTGTTTTTTCCCGTCAGATTTACTTTCAGCTTGTTAAGAGCTTTAAAATGAGTATAAACAAGACTAGGTTTTGTGAAGTTTGATTTTCGAGCTTAAAGGCGCATGGACCCTCGGAAAAATCGAATTTTACGGAACCTAGACATGTTTATACTCATTTTGAAGCTCAATAAAAAAAAAGTTCAAAGAATGTATTAGAACTTGATTTGGACTAAAATTGACCGAGTTATGACCGAAATCAAAATTTGATTGAAAATTTGTTGGGGTCCTAAAACTTTGAAAACTTAAAATCCTCAATTTTTCTTTTCAGATTCATGTCTAGCTTGTTAAGAGCTTTAAAATGAGTATAAACAAGCCTAGGTTTCGTAAATTTCGATTTTTGGGTTTAAAGGCGCATGGACCCTCGAAAAATCGAAATTCGCGAAACCTGGTCATGTTTATACTCATTTTGAAGCTTGTAACAAGACAAATTCAAAAAAGTGTAGCAATTCAATTCTGACTCCTAAAATTAATGTTTTGGCGCCCAATTCAAATTCAAAAATGACAATTTTCAGGTCCTTCTCACTCTCGGATTGTCTGAAATAGATGACATGGCAGTTTCTAGAAATTTCTGTGACATTTTTCTATTAACAGCGCCCACCAGCTCCTTCGGCTGGTGGTTGGCGTATTTGGCAAAGGAGAATTCAGAGGTTTACTATCGGTAAGTGTGCTCTATTGGACTTTTTCTATTTTCTGCTGATTTGGCGGGAATTTGAATTTTTCCCCAATTTTCAGAGACCCCAAAGAGGCGCCCGATCAATTTTTCGCGGAAATGAGGCTGCCGGATTTTTATCCAATTTCTTGGAATAAATTGAAAAGTTCCCGAATTTTCGGGAACCGGGAGTAATTGCAAACTTGTTTTTTTTTTGAAAATAAAACTTGAAAGCGGAAAAGTCTTAATTCCTTGTTCAGATTTGTGTTCAGCTTGTTAAGAGCTTTAAAATGAGTATAAACAACACTAGGTTTCATAAACTTGGATTTTTGAGTTTAAAGGCGCGCATGGACCATGGAAAAATCGAATTTTGCGGAACCTAATCTTGTTTATACTCATTTTGAAGCTCTCAATAAGGTAAACTCGAAAAACGTATTTTATTCGAGTTTGGACTAAAATTGACCAAGTTATGACATAAACCTGTTTTGGACCGAAAATCAAAATCTTCCAAAATAGGTCGTGTTTATACTCATTTTGAAGCTCTGAACAATCAAAATTCAAAAAATTAATTTTCAAATTAAAAGAATCAATACTGACAAAGTTATGGTCCAAACTACGTTCGGTTCCACTTCGCGTTTTTGTTGCGTATTTCTGAAGGTATTTTTTGATGAAAAAAAATTTTTTTTATGGGAATCCAAATAGATTTCTGCAGAAAATTTGATAATTAAAAAATTTCACCGTACACCTCTAACATTCGCTATAATGACCCTCGTGAAATTGGTCATTTCTCCTGGGAAAAACTACAGTAATCATAAGACTCATAAAAAAAACTATGAAAATGATACTAAAGGAAAATGTCACCTCTTAAGTACCTCTCAAGTGCCACTCTTTGAAGTTTTTATTACAACATAATGTAACACCTGTCTCCCTGGCACCACCTGGCACCAGTCCACTTGAATTAGGCTCCGCCTCCTCTCCCTTACCCCTGGAGGGAGCCTATAAATACTCCCAAGTACCTAGCACTAGTATTCATTCTATCCAAAAATATCCTTCTAATATTTTTCCAGACGTCTTTCTGTATGGACGTCGGAAATCTATTTCTATCGATTTTTCTAGGAATTCTAATTCTATCTATCCTATACTCTTATTCCTTCGAGCTCAAGGCCAGGAAATCAAAGGTTAGTGTTTAAGCAGGGGTGTTTCTTACACTAGGAAACTTTAAATTACCGTAAAACCTCTAATAGAACGACACCCGGATCGTCCACTTTGAGCCTATATATCTCACTTCTTTTGAAAGATATCAAAAAGTGGTTAACTAGTAAAATGTTTATCA